ATAAGCATGTTAAAAGGGAGGTTTACAAGGTGTATGTCATTTAAAATTATTTTTTGTTGTTCTTGACAATTCTGATATCTAAGTTAACTTTACACACCACTTCATCATGATGATACAGTCAGATGGAAGGCAAAATACCAATTGGACTTTGATTGTCATTCCATGATTCCAAGTCTCTGTTGCATGGCTCACTGCAACTTATCTCTTCACAAGTACACATTCAAGTATTTCAGTCTGCTCTTTTCAAAAGAAACTGGTCTCATTTCCCTGAATCAAAATCAGAAGATCATGTACTCTGCTATGAATCTATGGAAAGGCAGTTGCTCCCTTGTATAGTACACTGAGTACTTACTGCAATGCACCTTTGAAATCCTTCCACCACCTGTAATCACAAGTATGCAGGTTACAGACTGTAGAAGAAACATGCATTTATTAATACCCTGTCACAACACTAGCCTCTGAAATATATAACAAGTGCTTAATGCTGCCACTGTACTCACCTCCTCTGGATGTATCTTACTTGTACTGCCACATCATTCCTCCTGGATACTCCTTTCTGTCAACAGGCACTCACAATATGCGTCAACAATGAACTTTTTTCTTATTTTCTTGTTTCCTTTAAAACTTAGAAGGTTAAGGAGTGATTGAAGTCTTCAAGATATTAACAAGAAAAGACAGGGAAGATAAAGATAAAATTATATCCACTGGTTGAGTATTCTAGAACTAGGGGACATTGTCTGATAATTAGAGCCAAACCATTCAGGAGAGATGTTAGGAAGCACTTCTATATACATAGGGTGGTGGATGCCTGGGTCTCTCTTCCACAAGTGCCAGTGGAATGAGCGGTCAGTTGTTAATTTTAAATCTAAGATAGATACATTTTTTAAGCAAAAGTATTAAGGGATGTGGGCCAAAGGCAGTCATATGAAGTTAGACCACAGATCAGCCATGATCACATTGAATGGCAGAGGGGCTGACTGACCTATCCCTGTTTCTATGTTCCTATTGGTTGGGTTTTTGTCAGTCCAAGTAAAGATCGCAATTATAGCCTTTCTTATTTGCCCTAAGATACCACTTGTAGTACTAACAATTGAAGTGCTTGCTAAGTTATTTTAGATGGTGTTAAGGGCTAATCACATAAAGTACAATTGGAATAGTACATGTAGCTGTTCTGATGTTCAACCATAATACATAGTATTGGTAAAATTTAAGTATGTGATAGATTCACTTCCCTGACAGACATTAATGAGTCTTTTTGGGATTTTAGAACAATCCAAGGGCTTTAATGAATTGAATATGATGTGTTTCCATTGTTCTTGAATTGCCAGTCTGTTGTGTTATGTCTCACAGTCAGCATGTCAGTCTACCTTTAAAATACATGCTCACAATATCATCGTGCTATTATAGCGTGTGACCTGAGTGTATAAAGGTGTCAGACTGTATCTTATTTCAGTTACTTGAAGTTTGACATGCTAATAGAAGCATACTAGTTTGCAAATCAATAGTTTAATATGAGTCCAGACACTAAGTGCCCACGAATGGAATATTTGTATGTATTTGTGATCCGTAATAAACTTCTGGTGGATAAACCATATCAGGTTTCTTACATTACGAGAAATGATATAGGCATTGCCACATCAGGTAAAATATCCTGTTGAGGCAAAACCCATACTACAGTCCCAAACTGTAATCATTGCAAGGCAAGTGCCAAATTTAACCCTTCATACCTGAAACTTATCCACTGACTGTAGCTCTGGAACTACCTCCCAATGCCTCTCCATCTCTCTACTTCTTTCTCTTCCTTTAAGGCATTCCTTAAACCTATCTCTTCCTGTCTTAAAATAAAAGCAAAGTACTGTGGAGGCTGGACATCTGAAATTATAAACAGAAAACACTGGAGAAACTCAACCGGTCTGGCAGCATATGTGGAGAGAGAAACAGAGTTAATGCTTTGAGTCCATTATGACTCTTCTTCAAAGAAAAACTCAAAACATTAACCCTGTTTCTCTCTCATTAAATGCTGTCAGACCTAATCAACTTCTCTGGCACTTTCTGTTAGTATTTCTTCCTTTCTTAAAGTCTCCTCATATGGCACTGTGTAATTTTTTATTAGTGTTCCTGGTGAACATCAGGACTTTTAAGGCATATTATTATTGTCATTTTTTATTTGCATTTTACTATGTCAAAGGGGCAGCATAAGAGCCAGTTGTTATTGTTAGACTCATAGCAGGCAAAAGACACTTTAATGTGCATGACATTGAGACATCTGTATCAATATTGGATTTTGAATGTTGTATCAGCTTTAAATGTTCCTCTGGAGCCAAATCAACACTCCTCAGCAACCAAAAGAATATTTATGTGGGTTTTGTGCCAGCATTGCTATTACATTTAAGGTAAAACTGACAATTTTATTCAGTAATGGTATGTACTCAACATGGAAATTAGAATGAAGCCAAAAGAGTAAAGTACAATAGGACATTCCATTAACCTGTGGATATCCCAACAATATGCTGTACCTTAACTTCAAACAATTATTCACCACAGTGCTGCGCAAAATTTTACCGATTAACTGAGGTCACTGGATTAATATAAATTGAATATAACTTGTAAATGCATTAAAGTTAATGAAGGATAGGAAGAAATATGCATTTTAAAAGAGGACCTCATACGGGTACCTAGGCAGCCATTCACCTCTCTTGTCCATACTAGATAAGGGGCATTTTAATATTAAGTGAATATGCATGGCCGCACAAAGTCTTAGGAGAAAAAGCTCATTCTTGTGTAACAAGAAAAGTTTAGTATATAATAGCAAGTTAGCATAGTCTATCTCTTATGAGATACCAAGCTAACCTAGCTCACCAGTTTGTTAAGAGTAGAGGTCAGACTACAGTCTAAAACCCACCAGAACTGATTGTAACTGAACTACTTTCTCCTGGAGATACTCACTTATAGACAAGTGGGTGGATCTATACAAAGGCTTCAGAGTCATACAGTTTTACAGTATGGTAAAAGGTGTTCAGCCCATCATGTCCAGACTGGTCATCAAGCTTCAATCTATTCTAATCCCACTTTTGGCACTTGCCCTGTCACCTGGGATAACATATAAATGCACAAATATCAGTGGCAGGTCAATGGTAATGTGGATAATGGAGAGGGAGTAAAGGGATGTGAGGACCAGACTGATACAAGTACAGGGATGGTACAGGTAGTGAGGATACAGATACAATACAAGGATGGTACTGATACATGGATAGTACAGGTAGCGAGACAGACACATGATAAAGAAGGCAATGATGAAACAGATACAAAGATGATGCAGATGTAGAGATAATACAGGTAGTGAGGATACAGATACTTTGGTGATTGAGGTGCGGTAATTATACAGACAAGGGGATGATGCTGATACGATGCTGATCTATATAGTGAGATGGTATAGGAAACATTGGGGGGTACAGATATAACAAGTACGGCTCTGTGCAATAAACACCAACACATTCTGGTTAGGTCAGCGAAACCCTTTCCGTGTGACGGTTCATATCGAAAGAACTTCGTAATTGTAACGATTAAACCAAGACTGGAGACAGCTTCGTGAGATCAACATAATTTGACAAGAAAATCACAACACATCGCAACGCAATCCAATGAATTATAAAAGATATCCTTTATCCTTTTGAGGAAAAAAAGGTTTATGAACACCGAGAGAATTATTCCATAGCCGCATGCTGCAACATTTGCTTGACGTACAAAGAGCAAGACGTTTTTGAAACAGTGTCGGAATTTCTTCCGAATCAAGCAACAGTCTTTATAAATTGGAGACGGAGATTAGTCAGTAGGTCATAGACAAACGCTGCATCGTTTTATTTGCCACCTGGCAGTTAGGAATTGAGACAAATCCACGGGTTCGTTCACTTCCAAACAGGCCTCCAGCTCTTTAGCCCCAAACTTCTGTTCATCTGTCCGAACGTGGCTCGGTGTCAGGACGCTGGTTTATATCCCTCTCCTTCCCCATCGCTGCACAGCACCTCAGCATGTGTTACTGCCATAGAGATGTGTGGGGATACAGGTGTGGAAGTAGAAGTGGTCGTATCTTTTTCCCAAAGGCACGTCTACAATCAGGTCAAAGCGCTACACCGAACTGAGATCAGACTAGCTGCTCCTCGCTCTAGTGTGGGTCTGAACCGCGTCTTTTATACTCCAAATGTCGGCTTTCTACCGGAGAAAGATTGTTTTCAGAAACAATACCGTCTATCTTTTTTGGGGGTGGGGGGCGTGGGGGGATAAAATCTGACATCAATGGCATTGCCCGTTGATGATTTAATATCTAAAATGATCCTAACTTATGTTCTGAAGAAGTCATATTAGGCTTGAAATCTCAAATATGTTCTTCTCTGCATAGATGCTAAGATTCTCCAGCGCTTTCTGTTATATATATATATATATACATATAATTATTGTGGGTATCTCCTGGTTATTTTGCCAAAGATTCAAATTTCTTTTCTGATCGTTGCTAACAAGCGGCGCTTTAAACCTTTAGCTCCGTTTTGGGAACGGCTACTGTTAAGTGTTGCCTTATATTTTGTTTCTGATCGCCTACAAAATTTCAAACATCCCCAGACTAAAACAAATTTCACCCAAACATGAAAACAAAACAAAGCGCTGGGGTGGCTGGAAATCTGAAGCAAACAAAAGCAGAAAATGCTGGAGAAATGTATCTGCTCTGGGCAGAGAGAAAGGTTTGGAGTTTGGAAGCGGGGTGTGTGTTTATATTTAGATCTGATTCTCAAATTGATTTAATTGGAATCCTTTGCCAGGGGTGGAATCCAGACCAGGTTTTGCGCTGTATCGGAGTCTAACTCCTTCCAAACCCCCGTACCAATGGGATGTCTGGGGCATGTTTATTTAAAGTAGTGAGCATACAAATGACTGCCCGTTTCCAACAAGTCTTCAATGCATTCGCTGGAGTTGATGATGCCCCAGAGTTGCTGTGTTGTGCGTGTCGGAGCCACCCATGCACCATGAAGACCCCGAGGGAGAGTTCGCCGCCCCACTGCCCCAAGAAATCGCCGCCTTTCCCCCGGCTCTCTTCCTATCTGATCGACAGCATCTTGGGACGCAGCAGTCCACCCATCAAACGTGAGGGTGTCCCTTCCTGTGTTGCACGGACGGGCAAGGAGCCCGAAGGAGAGGCTGCCTCTCTTCGACTGAAGATGGGGAGTAAACCTTCTGAAAGGTTGGAAGTTGAGGGTAAGGTGGCAGCTCCTTATTGTTTGATTTAGAACAAAGTTTGACGCTGTCCATTGTAAAATAAAACATTTTGTTCTGTTTAGGCGTTTAACGGCTCAGTAGCAACTCCACCTAAAACCATAGTTAACGGTGTGACTTCCTCAGAACTGAAAAATTCTTCATTTCTGACTCATCAATCTCAAAACATTAACTGTGTTTCTCTCTCCACAGATGCTACCTGACCGGCTGATTTTCTCCAGCATTCTCTGTTTTAGATTTCTAACACCTTCATCTATGACAATAAAGGATCTTCTATTCTAATCTAAAACCACATTTTTTAATCATTTCTGGATTTCTTTTTAATTAGGAGCCAAAACACGTCACTCAATTGGTAAACGATGGGGAAACTGGCAAAAAAAATTAACAACAGTTAGACAGAATCAACAACAGAAATTGTTGGAGAAACTCAGCAGATCTGACAGCACCTGTGGGGAGAAAGGGTCGGAGGAAGGTTCACTGGACTCGAAACATTAACTCTGCTTTCTCCCTCCACAGATGCTACCAGACCTCCTGAGTTTCTCCGGCAATTTCTGGTTTTTGTTTCAGATTTCCAGCATCGGCAGTTCTTTATATTTTTTTTAAATTCAGACAGAAGACTGTTTTTAATCGGGTCAGGTTATGTTTGCGTTATAGTTGTTGAACTTGTTGTCCCTTAGTGTTTTATGCGTGTGTGTGTGCGTATGTTTTTGTTCAGGACAATCCGAAGTGGGGAGGGTTTGCGGATTGGAATGGTATCAGCTGAGTCGTTCCAAACGAGAGGAAGCCAGCAGAGGTGAGCCTGAGAAATGGTTTAATGAACTTGCTTCAAGCGAAAGCGATGCGAGCTCCGGTTTGATGAGTGGACCAGACCAAGTGAAACCTCCGCGAACAGACAGAGAGGACAATGCAGGGAGTTGTGGGGACAGAGAGGCATCGGCGGACAACCAAATCCTGGAACAGAGAGGAAGGGAGGACCAACCGAGTGAGGACACGGTGCAGAAAGACAGTACCAGAGAGAACCGGACCCTTCAGTATTATTCTTGTACCGGGGACCAGGAGCACAGCTCATTCAAGCGCAAACAGCGCCGCTACAGAACCACTTTCACCAACTTCCAGCTGGAGGAACTGGAGAGGGCTTTCAGGAAAACACACTACCCCGATGTCTTCACAAGGTAAGACTCTCGCAGCGAACTATGGCCACTAGCCCTCTATCACTTGGACTTTGAGTGTCTCTTCTGGAGCTCCTGAAGTGAGTAACGTTCAGGCTTTGTAAGGATCTAAACTCCATCTCAGTAGACGTTCTTTTAAAATAAAAGAGGGAAGAGTGGTCATTTAGAATGAACAGTTGTCAGTGTGAAAGGTTCCACAATAAGCCCTACTTTTATCAACCCAAAATGCACAGCAAAGAAAATAGGACAGCGATGTCACTGCGGCGAGAAATAATATTTCTGATTCTTTCAGAAATTTAGGGCTGAAAACAAAACAAACAGCACCATTCTAAAACGCCTCGTTGAAACACTTTCAAAATGTTAAAGCAAATAACCCCTCTTCCTCTGGAGTCGCATTGCCCGAAATCGCATTCTCGTTTTGTTGAGATATTCCCAAAATTCGAGTTCCTTAAAGCTGAAATTCGTTCTGTTAATTATGACGAATGCTAATACTGACATTCTTCTTTCTTTCAAATGTATTTAACAAAATCTATTTCCAGTAACAAAATGTTGTAGAAAAGGCAGACCTTTTTTTTTCTGCGTCGTTATATCGAGGCAACGGCAGCAAAAAAAAATGTCCAGTTCAATTCAGCTTTTTGTTTTTGGTCAATAATGGTTTGTGTTTGTTCACAAGGGAGGACTTGGCCATGCGACTGGATTTAACCGAAGCCAGGGTGCAGGTATGTGTATGTTTCTCGGCAGGGGTCTCCATCGGCAGCCCCAGAGAGTGGAAGGGGGCAGAAGGCGAGGTTTAATAAGGTCTAATAACGACCAGATTGCACTCTGCGCTCTGAACTTCTAAATCAAAGCAACCCACATGAAAGCGTTTGAGGGAGAGAACCTCTTTTAGATTAAATGAACAGAATTTAGATTTAGTCATTGGCTTATGCATTGCCAAAGTGATGGATTAAACGTTCTCCTTATCATTGGTTGTTGCAGATCAAAGTTAAATCGCCCAGATTCCGTATATTCGGCACTGAAAAGTTTCTGTTCTCTGGGGGCCGGTGAAATTACAAAGAGCCTTGGGGAGTGTCAATGAATAGAAACCATATGGCGGACACCAGCGGGACTGGGTGGCCCTGTGTGCGTTAATCTAAAAATAACAAAAACCACTCTATCCTTAACAATGTGCCATTTTCAAGCACGGTGCTCATAATTCAATCTCAAACGGTTAACCGAGTAGTCCGCTCCAAATCAGCAACTCGGAGTCTGGGAGTTTTATATAGTAAAGGAAATGTATGTATATCCCAATGTCAAATTCCCGAGCTTGAGCACCATTTTCTGTCCAAAACATTGATTCTAGCAGAATCTGAAATAGGAAGCGAGCGTCTCCTCGTCCCGATTGTACAAGGATAAAGCGCTCATTTACATTTTGTTTAATTCGTGTCTGATCCGAATGTTGTGTCTGGAGTATTAATTGGGGCGTTCCGTTTAGACTTTCTGATTGCTGTAGAAAAGAGACCGGATCCACGCTGAGAATTTTGTCCTCAGTGCCGACTGCCTGGGATATGACTCCACCAAACTACGGGGTTTCTGAATATACTTTACCTGATGGGCTGTAGTTCTTAACTATAATCACTTCATGATTTCTTAACTATAATCGCTTTCGACTCCCCAGCCTTCGTAAGGACTTTTCTGTCGCTATTTTATACATAGAAGCGGTGCCAAAGGTAGACCAGCTTAACTATCTGACCTTGAGGTGCTGTGTGTGTTACATCATTAAAATAGGACGAATTCAAAAAGTGTGAGTGACGAGTGAAACTTAAAGACCTTGGCCGTTTAACACATTTATTTCTGTCCACCCTACCGTGGGTTGGAAATCCGAAATTGGAAGTTGCAAAACTACCCGATTCTTTAGCAACATTGGGATACATGATTTTATATATTTGTATATGATTTTAAGTTTCACATGCACAGAACTCTCTTTAGATACGTGCGATAATGTAAAGAGTCTTTAAGGCAGTTTCAAAACAAAACGTTTAACTGAATCTACAGAATGACAGATCTCAGTCTGGATTGTTCGGTTTAGTTAGCGTGAGATACAACTACTGGGCCAACTTCATCTTAATTTATTATTCATTTTTTTCTTCATTCATTCGTGGGCCGTGTGTGTCGCTGGCTGGGCCAGCATTTATTGCAAAAACAGAAATTGCTGGAGAAACTCAGCAGGTGGAGAGAAAGCAGAGTTAACGTTTCGATTCCACTGACCCTTCTTTACAACTATCAGCATTTATTGCCCGTCCCTAGTTGCCCATAAGAAGGTAGTTGTAAACTCCCTTCTTGAACCGCTGCCGTCCCTATCATAATATCTAAAATCGAATTCGTTTTAAATTGAAGCAAGGCGTATACAACTGCTCCCGTTGTGCTTTTTTTTTAAAAAGAAATCTACCTTCCCCATTGTTTAGCAACATGCATAATCCCAATATCTATAAACATCTACTCTACCAGCGATTATTCCACCGCTGTTCATAATCGCTGCTGCTCAGTTTGGATAGGCTAGTCAGTCTTTGTATCCAATCGTGGCATGTGGGTGTATCTGGGCTGGGCAAACAGTTATTGCCCGCCCCTAGTTGCCCTTGAAAAAGTGGCGGTGAGCTGCCTTCTGGAACCGCTGTAGTCCCTGTGCTGTAGGTGCCATTAGGGAGGGAATTCCAGGATTTTGACCCAGTGAAGGCATGGTGATATATTTCCAAATCAGGATGGTGAATGGCTTGGAGGGGAACTTGCGAGGGGCGGGGTGGGGGGGCGTGGGGGAATGTTCCCATGTATCTGCTGCCCTTGTCCTTCTAGATGGAAGTGGAGGCGTGTTTGGAAGGTGTTGTCCAAGGATCTTGGGCGAATTTCTGCCGTGCAACGTGCATACCGCTCGAGTCATTGACTGGTTGGTTGTGGGCGGATCACAAAGCTTTCAAACTGGTCTGTTGTCTCTTTTCCTCCCCAGGTTTGGTTTCAAAACCGTCGAGCCAAGTGGAGGAAGCGGGAGAAGGCCGGAAACCTGAGCCATCCTCACGCTCTGTCCTTGGCCAGTCCCCTGGGGCTGTACTTGGATGTACCAGTGGGCCATTCTTCTGGCGTGGAGCCCAGCTGGAGGTCAGCGGCCATCCCACCGTTCACTGCTCCAGCAACTGCGAACGCCTATAACCCTGCAGCCCAGCTAGGTATCAGCACTTTCATCGGGACCACTTTCTTCAGACACCCGTTGCTCAGCCCACACTTCGGGAGGTGAGTTGTAAACGACGTGTGCGGATGCTTTCACGCATTGAAGAGAAATCTGAACATGAACCTTCCCTAATAAAAGCTAAGTACTGCGGATGCTGGAAATCTGAGACAAACACAGAGAATGCTGGAGAAACTCAGCAGGTCGATGGAGGGAGAGACAGTGTTAATCTCCTAGTCCCATATGACTCTGCTTCGGAACGTCTTCCCTATCGGATATAGAAGCGAATGCTTTTGATAAAGAAAATTAATAACCGTAGAAAGTACTCAACAGGTTTGGGCGACGTCGGTGGGGAGAGAAACAGCGTTTAACGGTTCAATTCGATAACTATTCCCCACAAACGTTACAGAGCCGCTGAGAATTTAAAATCCAAGCATTTTTTTTCTTCTGCATTAATGTAACACAATTTTGTTTTCAATCCCAACCTACCTGCTCAGCAATTGTCCTGTTTTATAGCTGTCTTAATTCTGCACATCACTTGCTTATTTTAGTTAAGTCGGGAAGGAAATCTTGAGCTCCACGTGACTCCAAACCCAAACAGCTTAGAGGTGATTTGAACTGCCGTCTGAAGTGAATTGGCAAGCCGGGCAGTTCAAGGACAGTTAGGAATGGGCTACAAATTCTAATATTACCACACCCCACGAAAGAATAACGGTTGTCAGTTCCTGGGCGGAATAGATTTAAAACAATTGGGTGTGAGAATATTTCCAGTTCTTTTCTTGGCCAAGTTTATCCTGATATCCAAGTTGAAGTTTGCTGATGTTGGTGGAGGGGTCGCGATATAATGTCTCAAAGCTGTAGAAGTATCGGGCATTCATACTGGTGCTGTTAAGCAATTCAATTTCAGATCGAATCACAAGTTAATGCAACTGTTGAAACACATTCCAAAGGAGAATGACCAAAAATAACTTGTCATTTCGAGTCAGTCATGATAGACATCTTTCTGTTAGAGAGGCGCAAATAGTTAGAAAGTTGAAGGGGCATCACTCCATATTAAGCATGGGCCGAGGTGAGAATGCAGTCCCCGTAAACTATCACAGTCGGAATTAAACCCGTGTAATTGGTGTCATACTGTACTGCGTACTAGCTATCTTGTCATAGTCAAATCCTTATAATATACAGTATCGATTGAAAAATTCACAATTTTATCAATAGCTTCATTCCCCTTATTCCTACCGGAAGATAATTTAGGGAAACTAGAAAAGGCTGAAAGTTGCTGGAGATTCGTTGAAATACATTTCTCAGCAACAAAAAAGGTCGAAGTTGAGAGTGGAGCATGAGAACAGAAAGACAGCGTTTAGAGTCCTATATGACTTCTTCAGAACTGAATAGACGTGAAATGTTAATGTTGTTTCTCTCTCTACAGATGCTGCCAGACCTGCTGAGTTTCTCCAGCAACCTTTTGTTTTTATTTCAGATTTCCAGCCTCCGCAATATTTCGCTTCTATAAAAACGGAAAATGCTGGAGAAACTCAGCAGGTCTGGCAGCATCTGTAGACAGAGAAAGCAGAGTGAATGTTTCAAGCCACTTCTCCAGTATCCGCAGTGCATTCCTTTTATCTAAGAATAGCACATGGTCGCCGTCTGGAAGATCAACTCTTCGTTGTTCACGACCGCTCAACAGCGCTCACCAGCACCCACCCAACACCACAACACAAACACATTCCCCGAAGGTAATCCCTTTTTTGAAATGATCCTAATGTTTTGCATCCTGCGCTGCTGTCTGAACCATCATTGCAAATATTGGAGACAACAAGGTGCAGGGCTGGATGAACACAGCAGGCCAAGCAGCATCATAGGAGCAGAGAGGCTTAGTTGTATCACTCCTCCGGCAAACAAGACAGATTCTGCCCATGTGCATTTCATTTTCATATACTTCATATAAATCTTCCAGTGCTACTTTCTGGACATTTCTGAGTGATTCTGCTTTTAGTGAGATCGATCATGCAATATTCAATTCTTTTTAAAGTCTGTCCTACTTTATATATATATATATAAATGCTGCCTAGCTAGCGACGTCCTCATCCCGTTCATGAATAAAAAATAATTGTTCATGGATTGTGTGTGTCTCTCCAACTTTGATGTTGGACTGGGGTGGACAAAATCAAAAGTCACATGACACCAGGTAACAGTGCCTCAGGTTCATTCCACCTGAGGAAGGAGCTGCGCTTGAAAGCTTGTGATTTCAAATAAACCTGTGAAGGGTCTGGGCCCGAAACGTCAGCCTTCCTGCTCCTCTGATGCTGCCTGGCCTGCTGTGTTCATCCAGCTCTACACCTTGTTATCTCTGTGTTTTCCAGTGTTTACTTTCCATTTCCAGCACTAATTTGCAGTCTTGTTTTTCTAAATCATTAACGAAATTGGTTCTCTGGGAAAGGTTTGAATTAAAACCAGAAATAAAAACGGAAATTGCTGGAAAAGCTCAGCAGGTCTGGCAGCACCTATGGAGAGAAATCAGAGTTAACGTTTCGAGTCAGAACTGAGGAAGGGTCACTCGACCCGAAACGTTAAATACTAATTTCTCTCCACAGAGCTGCCAAACTTGCTGAGCTTTTCCAGTAATTTCTGATTTGCAGCATCCGCAGTTCTCTCGTTTTTTTTTCAAATTTAGAATTAAAGCCACTTCGTTTCTTCATGGGGTATTCAACACGCTGCTTGGTCTTGTGAGTATGTGCCTTTTTTTTGCCATTGATTTTGCAGATTTTTTACGGTGAACCCGCTGATGGCAGCCTCGCTGGTTGTAAAGCCTTCGATTCCCAACCTGGACTCCGGTGTGTTTCCAGCCCAGCCGCAGTCGGCTGCCTTAGACAGGAAATCCTCCAGCATCGCCAGTCTGAGACTCAGAGCGAAAGAACACGCGGCACCGAGTCCCCCAGTCGCTCTGCTCCCGAACCTGGCAAGTGCGGGGAAAGAGGTGTGTTGAGAGACATTGCAGCCACCTCCTCACCACCTCCCACCTCCCCTCCAAATCCCCATCCAGTCAACCCCCAATTAAAGGGCCTGGCGGTCACCGAGCACATAACTGTACCCCGCTCAGCAGCAGATCAGAGGCAGCTGAAGAGAAAACAACGTTTGGAACCCAAGTGAAGCGTGATTTTGGGGGCGAAACTCTTGTTTCCGGAGAGCTGGCGCCCATGAAATGGATGAAATTTTGGTCGGCGGGGCAAACAAAACAACAAAAGAAAGTCACTCGCCCTTTTGTGACAAACCTGCCTTGTGCTGTCAACATTTTATTGTAAACAAACAAAACCAAAGCCAAACAAGTGTCATGTGCTACGCCACCGCTTTCCTCCTAAAAAAAACTGCTACAATTCTGATTAGTAGCGCCCTTACCCTGAAAGACTTCTGCATTTAATGACCTGTAACAGTGTAGATAGATGTACTTAGACCGTGATTCACAAATGATCTATGTAATTTATAAAATGGCTTTCAGATGTAACAGAATATATAGTATTTTAACGTTAAGTAATGCGTCTCGTGGTATCTCCCGTCTTATTCTATGAGATTTATACAATTGCGAAGTGTATTTAATGATACTGTCAGGTGATTATCCGCTATTCTCTGCATTGGAACCACCTCATCTGCTCCGCATTCAGGGAAATGTTGGGGTTCAGTAACAAGAGAAGAAAGCACTGATTTACAAGATTTTCCTCAAAGACTGCTGCGCTTAGATGTCAAGAAGTTAGAACAGAAGTACGCCGTTCGGCCCCTCGAATCCTGTTCCGCTTCTGACAGGGTTGGACTGTGTCTTGACAATGAGCAAAACAAAAAAGTAACACTTCATTAAGTAACACAATTGATACCCCAATGACTAGCGCGCTGTTCTTGGGAACGAGTTAACTCTTGTCATTAACCTGCAGTCCAATTTGACGGCCTGCAAAGCACTAACAAATCTAAAGGTAGATTCAAGGGGAACAATTCGTGGAGTCATAGAGATGTACAGCCCTTCGGCCCATCGAGTCTGCGCCAGTCGAAAATAACTATTCAAATCCAATTTTCCAGCCCTTGGGCCAATTGACTTTATGCCTTGGCATCGCAAGTACGTATTTATAATTCACTTGAAAACACCTTTTAAAGTCTCTCCGCCTTGCCTGCTTATTATTTTGGAAATGACTGGGGATGTTTTTGTTTCAGAAGTGCCGAATTGGACAGATTGTTAAAGATGGAAATGTTATTAATAGTGTCCGCATCTTCTTAAGACAAAGGACGATGAATTGTTAATAAGACCCATTGGAATGTGCTGAGAGCCTAACTCCGAGTTCGAGTCCTGTCTTTCATCTAAAATTGACAGCTCAAACAATTATTTAACAAAAGTAAAGACCCAAAGGAAGATGCTAATGAATGTATTTATCGAAATGATTGAGCGGTAAATTGCTCTTTAATGTCGAGCCAGCAAGTTTATTTCATGATGAATTTTAACAGAGCTGGGGCTTTTTATGTTTCCTTTCTTTCCAATTGAGCGGGTTCCTTCAGACAGCACGTTACAACTAATCGAGTGCTGTCTCTGAAGAGAAAGCTTAGAAAGTGAGCTGGACGTTCCAGGAGGATTTAATCGGCAGCTGATAAAACACTGAGTTTTCTCCATCACAAATTGAATGAAAGCAGGGCTCTGCCTCACATACACACACTCACAGACTACCAGACACACACAGAGAGACAGACAAACGCACACGCTCACAGACTATCAGACACACACACACACAAAGGGACACGCACACACACACACACACAAACATACCACTATTTGTCACAAAAAGCATCCCAAGCCATTTCTGCTCCTTTAAGAGTGGAGAGTCAATGGTTGGACATGAGAAGGGCAGTGATGTACAATTGGTGGGATTTTACTAAGTGTTGTTCTCAGACTACAGCGCCCTTTGAACCTTCACTGTTCGATGCTGATGTAATGGAACTAGGGGAAATAGTTTGAGAATTAAGGTGAGGCCATTCAGGAGAGATATTAGCAAGAACTTCTACACAGAGAAGTTGTTAGATACTTGGAACTCTCTTCCACAAATGGCAGTGGATGCTGGCTCAGTGGCTCATTTTAAATTTGAGAGATTTTTTTTTATTAAGCAAAGGTATAAAGGAATATGGGCTAGAGGCAGATATTTGGAGTTCTGCCACAGATCTGCCATGATCTCATTGAATGGTGGAACAGGTTCCAGGGGCTGAATTGCCTCCTCCTGTTCTTATGATCCTAATTCTGATCAGTTCAGCCTCAGTACTTCAGGCTCATGAAGGTTTTTGGATAAAGCCCCCATTCTGGAACCTTGAGTACAGCACACAGGCTGACACTCCCACTGCTTCACTATCTAGGGAAGAGTTTTCTTGCTCAGATATTAAACAATACTTTCACTGCTCCAAAATATCCCCAGGCACTAGTTCAAAGAACTGTTGTGCTGGGTGTTCTCTCCAATATCAACCACTATCACTCAGATTTGTTACTTATGATCATATTGCTATGTTTGGAAGCTTACTGAACATAGATTGTCCTCAATATTTCCTACAGTAATTACACTTCCAAAATTAAGGTCTCAAAACATCCTAAGGTGCTGATGGTTGCTATATAAATGCAACTTCTATGCATCATTTACTTGCAAATGGGCTGAACTACTGTTAGCTCTGACTTAGAAGCTAAAAGATACCCAACAATGACATCTTTCGAGGAGGTTGTGAGGGGTGATGATGCCTGTTGAATATTTTACAGGAATGGTACTGTTAATCAAACTTTCTTCACATATTGCAAGCTCCAGAATGGTAACATGACAGCTCTTGTATAATTACATGCTTACATCATAATAGTAATTAAAAAAAGTCTTGAAAATTTTTTTTTGTTCTTACTTTGACTGAGTTTTAGTACATTTCAATAATTACAAGCTCACCCAATGTCTCTTAGAGTTAGTGATTGGCCGGTTTGGGTAGGTGTAAGTATTGTAGCATGTGTCATTTATTACAAAACAGTATATAATTAATCAAAATGAAAAAAGAACACAATTTAATGATAAATGGTGGCAGAGATTGCAGCATAGGGGATTCATCCATTGTGTTCTTATGTATTAGTAGTTCATCCCACCTGTTTGTTCCAAAGACATCTCCTTTCTTTCCCCCACACTTTAATCTTTTCTAATTTTCAAGTTTTAATGCTACAGCATTTATGAGATGCAATACAGAAACTTGTCAAGGCTTCCGCAACAGCATTTCTCCAAATCTGTGACCACTACTACCGAGAAAGACATGGGAAAACAATAACTTTCAAGTTCCCCTACAAAGCACACACCATCCTGATTCAGGTCTATATCGGCCATTACCACATTGTCACTAAGTCAAGATCCTGGATTTTCCTCTCTATAACAGTATTCGGAGACCAACTTCATCACGTGGATTTCTTCAGCAAAAGTAAACCACTCACCACCACCTTCTTCAATTTAGTTTGGGATGGGTAGCAAGCGTCACTATCCCAAGAATGAATAAAAATTGCAATTTCATGTCAATTGCTGTCTCTGCCTGCATGCCCCGATAGTCACTTGCAGTAATGCATTTGATAGTCCAATAATACTTTGACAAAAACTTCTCTTACTTGGCTCTTCTATGTTGCTAATAACAAAGAACATGCCATTTCAAATTGAAACATGTCTTAGTCCAACATAGAAACCAGCTTGCAGTTTTTACATTTGATTTACATTTTTATCTTAGCCGTGCGAACTGAGTCTAATCTAAAATTAAATTGTTCTTTATTTTGCGAACTGGAAGCTGATGATTACAGGTCACTGATAAAGCCAATGAAAATAATCGTAAACAGTAATGATACCATGATTCACTGCATTTTAAAAAGACCTTTGTGAGATTTAAATTTAACTCTCATGTTGGCCATATCTGTGTAACTTAATTCTAACATATGTTATGTGGATTATATTCATTTTATATGCACTCTGCAGATTATAACAGCAAGAGAGTTGTTAAACAAAATCGAGAATATTTTAAATGACCTAAATAAGATTGAACCTAATATCAACAAGAAATCATCAACATATTAAATCATTGTTTCTTACATATATTCATTTGAGGTGACACTGGTAGTGTACAATTGATTGTCAGCAATTCTAGAGCGAAGCTTAAGCTTGGTCAACTTTATACAATTTGCATAAAGAACAACACAGGTTGAAGTGGCTGAAAACAAATAAATGCTGAGGAATCAATAGTACAAATCCAAGGATTCCAAGAAGGAATAGAGAAACGTCCTGCATATAATCATGAGGGAGGTAATACATACAGGAGAGTTCCTATTATGTGAGATCAGAGCAATTGTGGTCCATGTTTTTGAGAAATTATGGTCTGATGGTCTTAAATGAAACTAGGTAACTGTGAACCCAATCATCACATCAGTAACTGGGAGAATAATGGAACTGATGAGCGAGAACACAGCTGAGAAAGGTTTGAAGGAAAACAACCTCATTAGTAGTAATTAGCTTGGTTTTAGGAGCTGTTCCTACCTGACCAATCTCTCTAATTTTCTAGAGAAATAGATTGGGAGGTGCATTTCTGATAATTCTTCATTATTTCACTCCAGAGTTTTGTTTAAGACTCCTTTATCACTCATCTGTCATGGGAGTCTATTTTTTTGATTGTTAGGCTAGAGGATAAGCTTATGGGGGAAAATGGGAATGTAGAATTCAGAACCCAAACAGCTCAGTCATGACCTTATTAAATGATGGAGCTGGTATGAAGGTTCCAAAGTCCAACTTTCACTCCTAATTTGTACGTTATGTCCCACACAAAACTAGAGTTAATGGGAATCAATGAGCAAATTTTCCACACGTTGGAGTCATACTCAGCTCAAAGGAAAATGGTTATGGTTGCTGGATGTCAATAAACTCATTGGGAAGTCATGTTGAGGTTGTACAAGACATTGGTGAGGCCTCTTCTGGAGTACAGTGTCCAGTTCTGGTCACCCTGTTATAGGAAGGATGTTATCAAGCTGGAGAGGGTTCAGAAAAGATTTACCAGGATGTTGCTGGGAATGGAAGTTTTGAGTTATAGGGAGAGGCTGGATAGACTGGGACCGTTTTCACAAGAGGGTAGGAGGTTGAGTCACCATCTTATAGAAGTTCATAAAATCATGAGGGTTATAGATAAGGTGAATGGCAGGAGTCTTTCTCCTATGGTGGAGGATTTCAAGAATACGGGGTATTTTTTTAAGCTGAGAGGAGAGAGATTTAAACAGGATCTGATCTGCAACATTTTTACACCGAGAGTGGTTCATGTGTGGAATGAGCTTCCAAAGGAATTGCTGGATGCAAGTACAGTTACAAT